AATAACAACCTCCATTATAATAAACATATGCATAGGTATTCTTGTACATTATCTTTACTATATGTGCACCTGACTCACTATTTGGTTGATATCCATCATACACTGGACCAATTGCATTTCCCTCATAAAATTTTAAGTAACGTTCTCCTTCAATAACTAATTGAGAAGTTAAAAAGAACTTAATGTATGATGATGAAAAGTATGCTCCAGCACATATCCCTAAGAACTTTCCCCCATTGAAAACAAACGACTTAATCAGTTCAATTCCATCAATCTGAAGTTTATCAAGATAAGGTAAATCCTCACCTCCTGGTATGACTAACAAATCAGTACTTTCAATCCATTTGTTCGTCTTAATTTCTGAAGAAGAAATTTTAAAAACATTAGCACAAGGAAAAAATGATGAAACAATTGAATTGTGTTATGAACACAAAGAACGGATGTTCCAATGTCATTATACACTCTGATAGTGTTAATCATCAAAATGAAATAAATAAAAATAAAGATTATTAATAATAATGTGATTAAAAATATGAAAAAATATGTTTCAAAAAGACTTTTCTTCTCATTTCAAATTCACTTTTCTGATGTTCTTTAAGCATTTTACCACACCATTCTATGTCCAACTCAAAATGAGGACCAGAAAGAATAACTTTTCCTTTACCAATAGTGTCAAAGAACAAAGCATTCATTCCATTTTGATATTTTGCAAGAAAATGATTCTCTTTGTATTGATTTAAATTGTCAACAAATGAACATCCTCCATTATAATAAAGTTCTACTTTTTGATTATTTTGATAATAAATAGGAATTATGACAGCTCCTTGTTCAGAGTATTCTTCAAATCCTTGGTATATTGGTCCATGTGCAATACCATTGAAAAGTTTTAATGTTCTTTCTTCACATAGACTTAATTCATTTGGAATATCTTTATTAAATTCAATAAATGATGATGCAAAATATGCCCCTGCACAAATTCCAAGATACTTTCCACCATTATTAATAAATTCTTTCAATAATTTGACTCCTATCCCATTAAGTTTTTTGTGAAATGGACGATCAGCACCACCTGGCATAACAAATAAATCAGTTTCAGAAATCCATTTACCTTCAATTAATTCATCAGCATATATTTTTCTTATTCTAGCTTCTTGGTATTGAGAATGAAGCATTTTCATTGAATAATGAACACAAACATTAATAGTTCCTTCATCAGCATAAATAACTATAGATTTTATTGTCATAAGAAATGTTAATCTCTTTAATCATCCAAGTTCTTTTATACTTTATCTTTATTACTTTTTAACTTAATAATCTGCGAAAATAATTCAATTTAAAACTTCATGAAGAACTGAAAGTAACTTTTCTGCAATTTGGTGATGTGCTTCTGATGTGAAATGAACACCATCTTCTCCAACACTCATCCCATCTAAATCAACAAACCCATCTATTATTTCTTGCTTTTTCCATAATTCAACAACAGTTTTTAATTGATGAACAAATTTCAATGATTCTTCAATCACTGGATTTACTGTAGATTTCCAACTTTCAAATGTACAATATTGAAGTGGTGGTGGAATTAAAACAATTATTTTTGTTTGTTTTTGAACTTTTTCGATATATTGTTGTAATACATCAATAACTTGTTGTGAAGTTGCTTTTGAAAGAATATCATTAATACATAATGAAATAATTAATACTTTGTTTGTTGAAAATGGATTGGAGGTAATCTTTAATAAGAATTGATCATATTCTTTTAACCCATTAGTAATACCAAATGGTATGTTTTCATATTTTAATGAACGAGCAGGTTTTCCATCAACAATACAATTGACTTTTGTAAATTCTTTTTTCAATTGTTCAATTACAATATTAGAAAATCTGTCTTTGGAAGAATAACGTTTATAAGTCACAGCTTCAATACCATAAAGATTTGAATCTCCATAAAAGAATATTGAAAGTTCATTCATTAATAAAATTGTTTTTATTAGATTTAAAACTAAATTAAAAATAACAAATTATTTATTTCTGATAATAACAAGATTTTAATTGAGGAAGTGATAATACCATTCAGTGTTAATAAACTCACTTTCTTTTGATCTTTTGGAATAGAAATTCTTTATAAAATCTTTTTGAATCATTTCACTATTAATTTTACTTTCATTAAACACCAGAGTATAAACTACACTGGATTAATTATTTCAAATACTGATAATGAAGATAAAGTGAGTCAAGACAAGGTGGTAATTCTACATTCTGAGTAACACAATTTTCAATGTGAAGTTCCTTAACATTAATATAATTTAAATCCTTAAATGATATATGATTTTGTGATAAACCAAAACATGATACAGTTAATGAAGTCAAAGAAGTAGGAAGTAATATTAGATATGAAACTAATCCTAATATTTTTAAACTACAAAGACATGAACAATGATATATATTATGTTCTTTTAAAGAAACATTTAATACTAATTGTGTAACTGGTAATTTCTTTGGAAGAGAATTAGAATAACATTGTAAAAATTTTAATGAATTAGGATAAAATGATTCAATACTAACATTTTTAAGAATTTTGTTTATGTGTAATACTTTTAAATTTGTTAATGAACAAAGACTATTACATGTGTTACATGACAAAGACAAATATGTTAACATTGGACATAATGAAATTGGAAATAGTTTATTTGAACATAAAGAAAGTCGAAATAATTGCGAATAATTAGAAATTTGAATAAAATCAGTGATTGTTATGCTGTTAAATTATTAGGAAAAGATACATCTTGAATATTTTTTCCTTGAAGATATAATTCATTAAGAGAAGATATTTTATAGAAATATTTTGATTCTAGATGTGTTAGACTTATTGGTGGATTAAAATAAATTGAAGAATTTGTTGATTTGATTGATTTTATGAATGTATATGAACTAAAATCCATTTTAATCTTCTTTTTACTAAATCCATTTATTTTAATATGCTCAGGATAATATTGAATTAATATTTCATTGTTAAATCCTTTTTCTGTTATTTCAAACTCATTAATTAATCGTTTATTATGAATAATAACACTATTAGACATTTACTATAACATTCTTTGTAACAAAATGTAATTCTTTTGAGAAGTTCTTTATTTTTGATGACTGATTCTAATATTTCTTGTTTATCAAACTCAATAACTACTTTCTTAATATTAAATCGATCAATGTGATTAATAAAATTTGTATCAACAAATCCTTCCATTAAAACATAACCTTTTTCAAAACGATGATATCTATTTCTAATAAAATCATTAACACTTAAGTGATTTTTAATAATAAGTGATAGACTTGTTAAAGATATAAATTCTGAAAGATCAAAAGAGAATTTAGGATTTTTTAATGACAATAAAGCAGTTCTTTCTTTCAAATAATTATTTTTTAATATTGTAGATTCTGGACTAATAACAGGAAGTTGAATTAATTTAATTTGTGAAGAAATTAAAAGAAGAAATTGAATTGTTTGTTCTGTAAACTAGATTGTTTCTAGATGAGGAAATAATTTCATTTCTTTTACAAATGATTTTTGGAGTTGAAAATTACATTCTTTAGTATGAAAATATTCATTAGCTTTCTCAACTGAATATGATGGATTGATATGTAATAATTGAAGTGAATCTTTACATTTTTTATTTATTAATGTAAACAATTCAGCTATTCTTATGCCACTAAAATATAATACAATATTTGAGAGATAAATCTCTTCAAATTGTATCTTTTTTTAATCATAATAAATGATTGATTTAAGATTAATTTGTTAACACCTTTTTGAAAAGAATTAGATTTTTGGCTTTTCATTTCTGTTTAACACTAATCTTCTTTTTTTGTTTATTTAGAATTCATGTGTGGGAGAAGTCCTTCATTCCTTAACAAATTTCTTGAAATTAAATCAGCTAGTCGAATAGGCTCTGGGATTTTATGTAAACAACATTCTTTACATATAATTACTGCGGTTGAAAGTGAAACTTTATGCCCACAACTAACAACAATTGGATTTATACTACCACCTCTACTTCTTATAACCCCACACAACACTTCTCCACTTGAAGTACTAATTGTCGTTGATTCACCTGCTTTGATTTGTGAAGTAACTATGTTAATCTCCTTCTTTCCTATCCCATCAACACATAATACAGTCTACATTGTTAGAGTTATTTGGTGAATAAAACTCAAAAATTACAAACCTTTGCAACACCAATTGACGGTATATCACAACAAATTCCAACATGAGTTGCAGAACCAAATCTTCGAGGATGATAATATCCATTCCCATCAACAAGAACAACTTCTGGATATAACTCAGGATACTTTTCTTTACAACTGTTTAGTAGTTCATGATAAACTTCTACTTCTCTAAACCCAAGAAATCCTGAAATATAAGGAACCGTAATTATTTTACGACATGTTAATGTTAATAACTCTTTTCCAGAAGGATATTCACAAATAACTAAACAACCAATTGCAAGGTCTGGGTGATTTGTTGAAAAAGATATATCTAATCCCTAATCATTAATAATTTTATCATACCAACTAATAACCATCTAGTCATAAACAAAAAATAAACAAACCCCAACATGTCGTAGTGTGTCTAAAGTCCATTCATGTGAGTCTTCAAGTATTACATCTTTAGAATGTAAAATTTGATACTTTTCCCATTGTTTTTCCATTAATTATTGTTTTTAAGTTTAAACTCACTAAAAATATAATAACAAGAAAATAAAAATCAATTTGTTGTGTTTTTGGTTATCCATGGATGAGCCAAACACTCTGTAAAAGTCATTCTTTTAGAAGGGTCATACTGAATTAATTTGTTAATAAAATCTTTGCAATCACCCGTAAGATAACTCGGAAAAGAATACTTAACATTTCTAACCTTTTTCATAACTTCATCACGAGTAGCAGATTGGAATGGTGGTTCACCAGTACATAGTTCAAATGTTAAAACCCCTAAACACCATTGGTCAATTGATCCGTCATAATATTTTTCTTGTACAATTTCAGGAGATAAATAATCTAATGTACCACAATAGGTATTTCTTTTAGTATTTGTATGAACAGACCACCCAAAATCAGCTAATTTAACCTGATCGTTGTGATCTATCATAATATTTTCTGGTTTTAAATCACGATGGATACAGTTCATCTCTTGGCAATACTTCAGGGCTTCAGTTGTTGCTTTTATATATCGGGCAGCTCTCTTTTCATCAAAACGACCAGCTTTTTGTAACAATCCATATAACTCACCTTTCTTACAATACTCAAGAACAAGAAACCACCTATTTTCGTCTTCAAAAAACCCAAATAATTTAAGAATATTAGGGTGGTTAAGATGAGATTGCAACTCAATTTCTCTTTTCATTTGAATCCCCATCCCACATTTTTGCAACTGTCTTTTAAAAACAACTTTTAATGCACACACATAATCACTAAAGAATTAACTCCTTCTTGTTGAATAAACTAATATTCTAAACAAACTATTTTTTGTATTTTACAAGATAAACATTTCCAAATTTGCCTTGGCCAAGTGGTTTTCCAACATCAAACATTTCTAGTGATAGTTGACCTGGCTTTCTTTCTTCAACTTTTTTTGGTTTACTTTCGATTTCCTTTTTAAGAGGGGACTTTGCTGGTAATTGGGCAAATCTACGGGGGACAGCCATAGGTTTGGTAGGAATATATTGTTGAGACTTAGATGGAATAGCAGCCTTAGAGGTGAAACTGAACATACTAAACGATCCTGAGATTTTTTCTTTTATATTTGAAAGAAATTATTAATTATTTATTAATAAACTAAATTAAATTTAAATTCAAAATGGGTTATTAATCTTTATTTTTATCTCACATTTTCTGATGGTTGAAAGGAACCAATAACGACTAAGACTCCTTATTAAATAAAACTTAAAAATTTTACTTTATTTTTAAAAAAATGGAAAGTAGTTTTAAAAAATTATTTGATGAACTAGGAGGAATGACTTCTTCACAATTTGAAATTACTGATAAAGCTGAAGAATCAACTAAAATACTACTTGATTTTATTGCTAAAACTGAAACTGTAGAAAAATTATTTCACTATATCGAAATTCATCGAGTTATATATGATATATTATATCCAATGACTATGACATTAAGTTCTAAACAAAACCAATATGAAAAAAGTGAATTACTTAAAAAGGTTTTAAAAATTATTTATGCTTACATCAAATCACTTCATAAAATTGATTTTACTAATGGGGTGTTAAGTTTTAATAATAAACCTCTTTTCCCACAACAAGTATTTTCAACGTTTAGTATTATTATATCAACTGAAATTGGCTCAATTTCTATAATACCAAGAAATAGTGAAATTGTATTTAACATAATTGAACATATAGTATTACACACAACACCATCAGTATTGAGCAATATAATACAAACAAATATCTTAAATATTGTTTCAATTATTCTTTCATCTGATAAGTTAAAAAATGAATTAAGAGAAAGTGCATTATCACTATTAATTTCTTGTTGTTATTTATGTTTTGATTCATTTGTTGAGCCAATAGGAATAAATAAAAAACATTCTTCATCAAAACTTGCTCTTCTTCTTGACCAAGAGAAAAAAAGAAAACACGAACTTGATACTAAACTTAATAAAAGGAGTGTACGGTTTCAAGTAAATTCTAGTAAACTTGGATCTTCTCAACCTTTACTTCAAGTACCAAATACACAAATAGCAATAGGAGAAAAAGTTTATAATTCAAAAACAATGAAAGGAGTCTCAAGTTCATTAAATTATGAAGTTTCTAAAATACTACTTTCTATTATTGAAAAGAATTCAAAGAAGATAACAAACATCCTCTTCAAAACAGATGACTCAAACTTAAAAGAACGAAGTTTTATTATTGTTGGAATTATATTAAAATTAGATAAAGAATTAAAACAAATTCAATATTATGATGTCCAATATGCTAATAGTATTCTTGAATCTATTTCTTTTTGGTATGGTAATAATGATTGTCGTTGCTTAGATTATTTAACTGTTAGAATTTGTTTATGGGTTCTATATCAACTTTTATGTCAAATAAAAACAATAATTGAAATGGAAATGATTCGGATTAATGAAACACTAACAATTAATGGCAAAACGTTATATGAAGACATTTTAAATTGTGGAATCTTTGATACTTATCAAAACATTATTCAAAACTTTATTCCTGATAAAGCACCAAATGATATTTTAACAAAAACATTCTATGGAATTAAAAAATGTTTTGAGCTTAATACATTATGTGGGTTCGAAGAAACTAGAAACTCAGATTTTTTACAGTCTTTATGTTTCGAAAAGTGTTGTAATACAATGACTTATTTCTTTTCTTGTTTGATGGTTGATGAATTTACAGATACTAATTGTGTTGAAATCACTCGTCTTATATTTGAAAAGATGAGAGAAGAAAATGAAGTTCCTTGCTTTTACAGAATTGAAACACTTGACCTTTTTGTACGTGTATTAAACCAGAAAACAAAGTATGAAACTAATGATGAAGTTAAAAAATTATTACATTTCATTGACTCAGTAATCAAAAAATTCAATGATGACATTATTATTAATAATATAATTCTTCTCAACTTACTCTTTCCTTCTTATGCCAGCTTACATTCTCATCTTCCCTTCAGAAGATATTCCACAAAAAAGTTTTTCAAAGAAACTTCTAACCCTCAATCACCAAGTAATCACAACAAAACTCAAATAGATGAGAATACTCAACAAAAAACAGAACTTCATAAACCAAACGAAGCAAATGAAAATAAACTAATAAGAAGAAGAAAATTAGTTGAAGTAGTTGATGATAACGAAGATCTTGATGATATCTTTGGTGATAATGAAAAGGAAGAAGAAGAGATAATTGATCTTGATACTCCAACATTTAAAAATTCAACTACAAAAGACCCAATGACTGAGGCTAAAACAGAAGAGTATCAGGCAAAACGAAAACTTGATAATTAATTGTTTGGATAAACAATAATTCAATGAGTTTTAAAAATGACATTTTAGTGAATAACTTTATTTTATTATGAAGACGAATTCATGTTCCGTGTTTTTCTTCTAAAACGACTTGGTTCTAGTAGTTCTGCATTTTCATCTTTTAAACTCTCATCATCTTCCTGTTCTTCTTGTGTTGTATATTTTCTTTTAACAGGATAATCATCTCCATCATCAGTACCAAAATATTCTTCGTAGTCATCTTCTTTTTCTTCAATTTTTGTTTGTTTCCGTTTTCTTGTTGGCATAGTAATTTTTTTTGTTTTTCTTCTTCTTGGACGGATAAATGTATCTGGGTTACTTTCTTCTTCACTTTCTTCTTCTTCTTCTTGTAATTGTTCTTCCAAACGTTGTTCAAATTCTTGTTCTTCTTCATAAATTTGAGACTCTTCTTCATTCATTTGTTTAGATTTGTTCTTTGTTTTTCTTCTTTTTGGACGTGGTTTAGGTTCAATTTCTTCTTCATCTTCTTCTTTTAGAGACAATTCATAGTCTGTTGTAATAAAATTATGTCTGAGATTTCGCTTTGGTATATCTTGAATTTCCTCACTTTCTTGTGAAGGCTCTTTCACTTCTTTGACTTCTTGCTGTCTTATTTCTGTATTTACTTTTTTTGTTTTTCTTTGTTTAGTTGAAGAACTCGGAATTATTATTTCTTTAAAACTCTCTAATTGAGTATTTAAATCAGCCAGTAAATCAGTATTAACAACAGCTCTACATGTCTCTAATGTTGGCTTTAATTCTTCAGCTATTTCAATTGCACATTCTCCAATAGGTGAATTTGGTCCATTATAAGTCACTGCATTTCTAATTAACTTGAATATTTCCCATTCAACTTGGTCATAAGTACGATAATAATTATCATTTATAAGACGTTGCAATATTAAATTAAAGTCAATAGGAAATGGACATGTTGGAATATAATTTGGATACATCCTAATATCAACTGGTGTCTTAAATATTTGATAGTCTTCATTATCCACAATCTCTCTTAATTTATTAATAAGGGTTTCTCTTATTACATCTACAAAGTCATCAGATCGGTGTTCAATATAGTCACTATCAATTTCATTAATACTAACATCAATACTTCCATTTGATGAGATTAATTTAATTCCTTTATATTTCATGAGTATTGAATTGTCAAAATCAATTCGATAAGATGAACCTCCACAATTGACTCTTTTGTGAGGTTGTCCCTCAATACATTGAATGTTATAGTCAATAAATTCTTTTAAAAATATAAATTGATTTCTTGATTGAGTAAAAACAATATTATTGATAATAACATCTTCTTTTTCTACTTTTAAATCTACAGAGACAAATACCTCGTTCTGAATATCATCATAATAAATTTTCATAAAAGTAATTTGACAACTAATCCATCCTTCTGTCCCTATATAATGTAAGTTATCTGTTCCTGTTATATTTGTTGAAATATCTTTTAGATATTCTTCATGAAAACTAGGGACATAGTAAACATGATCGCCAATGTTTGGAAAATATACTTTTCTCTTCTTTGTACAAGTCATGTCATATTCTCCAACAACCTTATTAATCCAGTGTGGATATGACGTATATATTTCTTTTAATAATTCAGTGTATGTTTCTTCTATAACCATAGAATTAATTGATTGTCGTTGTCCACGTTTTGTGGATTTTTTTTCTTTTTCTTCGGGTTGACTACTCTCTAATTCTTCAAATAATTCTTCTTCTTCTTCTTCATCTAAAGAAGATGATTCCAAAGAAGATGATTCATTAACTTCAATAGAACCGTCATCAACAATTGGTATTCCTGGAGCTTCTTCTGTTCCATTATCTGGAATAACAATACCCATTCTACTTGCTGCGTTTCGAGTTAAATGTTGTTGAGTAATATCTATATCTTCATCAACATCAAATACAGCATCATCTGCTTCTCCAGGAGTGTCTTCAAGCATTGTGTTTTGTTCATTTGGTTCGATGGTAACAGAAACACGTGGAATAATTGCCTCTTCAGGGTTACCTCTAAAATCATATGTTTCAGGTGTAAATCGATTTTCTGTGCATTGAAGTAATAATTTATTGTTTGTGTTCAATATTTGTTGAATAGAAGAATACGGGGTAAAAGTAAAATCACACACATTACCACAAGGTACTAAATGAGGTGCTACTTTAAACTTTTCATCAATACAATTACCAGCACCGTCATATAAT